TTGTGTAAATATTGTCGCAGAGAAAAGGGTAATAGCAGTTCGGTTGAGTGGTTGGTGTACTCCGACCCGATGCTCTCATTGTTTATCTTTGTAAACATTATCTTAGATAAAAGAAGTTGGAAGTGCATCATTTTTGACCACCACCCTCTCATTACAAAATGAATTTGGAGTTGGAAATACGTATCTCTCTTCTCATGTGTACACTTTAAACTGTTTTTGTTTAGCATTCATACATATAAACACACTCGAAGACTGATTAATGCTTCCCCTTTAATGAATAAAGGAATGTTGAGAATCTGAAGATTGTTCCCCCACTCGTAACTCCTTTTGCTTTCCTCAATCGATAAAAAAAACAATTGTGTGAATGTCATCAATGAAGATAAGCATATTTAAAACGGACTTTTAAACGTGCAAACTTTTTTCCACCGTACCCATCGTGAATATAAGATTATTAGTTGCATTCCTCGTTTTTACTACTACTGAAAGATCCAATCTTGTGCGGGATATAATGTTGAACAAACTACAGAGAAAACCAAAGTCGACTTGGAAAAAATGGAGGGAAGAACAGGAAATATATGAAACAGCTTTTTTCGTGTTTTAACTGATTATACATTACCCTATTAAAGCAAAATAGCTAAAAAAAGCCTACTTCCTGATCCTGTTCTTCGCTTCGTTGTTTTGTTTACATTGAAAGTCTTCTCTGTGGCCATGCAGTTTTCACCCATACGAGCGTCATCTCGCAAACAAATATTTGGAATGACCGCGTGACCGTTTGGTGCGGTCACAGGGTCGTGAAAGTTTCACGCTCTCGCTTCTATCACTGTATGTTACCTATGAAAAGTATGATTTTACAACCGAATAGTGTTATATCTGAATACATATCTATCATACTAATGGTGTTAAACAAAATTACTAATAATGTTAATACGAAAATTGTTTGTGTTTGTTTTGTTGTGTGTGGTGTGTGTGTGTGTGTGTGTGTGTGTGTGGTGTGTGTGTGTGTGTGTGTGTGTGTGTGGTGTGTGTGTGCGTACGAGCGTGCGTGTGCTTGTAATATATTTTCTATTGATCTACTTTCGACTCGAAGCAAATAGCTTAAAAAGCCTACTTCCTGATCCTGTTCTTCGCTTCGTTGTTTTGTTTACATTGGAAGTCTTCTCTGTGGCCATGCAGTTTTCACCCATACGAGCGTCTCTCGCAAACAAATAATTTGGAATGACCGCGTGAACCGTTTGGTGCGGTCACAGGTCGTGAAAGTTTCACAGCTCTCGCTTCTATCCTGTATGTTACCTATGAAAAAGTATGATGTTCAACCGAATTGGGTTATATCTGGAATACATTATCTATCATACTAATGGTGCTAAAACAAAATTACTAATAATGTTAATACGAAATTGTGTGTTAGTGTGTGTGTGTGTGCGGACGAGCGTGCGTGTGTTTGTAATATATTTTCTATTGATCCTACTTTTCGACTCGAGCTGAAATTTATATCCAGAACTTGGTTTCAGTCTTATTCTAATTTACATTTACAAGTCTACATCTGCTTATCTGCTGCGGAGACTGGACCTAATGCTGTGCCGAGTGTTTGTGCTTCTTAACTTGTAAAGATAACTGATGGGACGAAAGCGGTGGGCTTCCACGAAATATGATCGTTGCTGAGAAACTTTCATGTTAACTCAGTTTTCTGTCATTATTCACGGTTTTCCATGCGTTCTAAATATAATAAAGCTTTTTTCCATCAAACTTCATTACCATAATAATCTGACACATCCCTGAGATCTGCTCCACAATATATGGAGCAGTAAGAACAACCAAGGAAGTACAGCAAAACACATGAATATGCCGAAGGCCTTTCCACTTCACAGCTTCATCATGCCTTGATGGAACAGTAAAGTGAAAAGGCCTTCAGTATTTTCATGTGTTTTCCTGTACTTCCCAGGCCTTCGGCATATTCGTGTATTTTCCTGTTCTTCCCTTCATTGTACGAAGGGAAGAACAGTAAAACACGAATATGCCGAAGGCCTTTTCACTTTATTGCTTCATCATGCCCAGATAAAGCAGTAAAGTGAAAAGGCCTTCGGCATATTTGTGTGTTTTCCTGTACTTTCCTTCGTTGTTCTACTTGCAAGTTATTGGGTGGGTGGGTTGTTTTTGATTGAGATGTCACTTTTTTTTAAAATTTTCATGTCACAGTCCCAGTAAGTATGACAATAGTGCTGCCTCCCTGATACCGGGAGAAACTTTTTGATTCTTTGATAGAAGGCTACAAAAGATTAAGCCAAACCTGAACGGAAAAGTTGTCTCGCAGGATGACGCAAAAGAATGGCAAGCAATGAAAGCTGCTGCCAAAAGTAATCACAACACTCTTGCTGAAACTTGTGAAAGAAACGCTGCTGGGCCCTTGATGTCTTTCTGGTCAAAGGTAAGACCTTTTGTTTAAATAAAAAATCTAGATCTAGATCTATGTTATTTGCTTGATCTTGATATTTAAGAAACATTAGTTCTATCTAATGTATCATTAGAGTAGCTAGATTAAGGCTTTGCTAAGATACTTTAAGAGAGAGAGAGAGAAGTTTGCACAAGGATTGTTATTATTTATATATTAATTATTGCTGTGTTATGATAATATTACTGTATCAGTTCATGATATATTTTTTAGATCTAGATTATCCAATTCATAAAGACCTCAACTTCTGACAACCTTCAAATAGTGTTTTGTAATACTGCAACCTTTTTATTATTGATTTATATTAGTCGTTCTTTATTTATCTATTATTATTTATTTTATTTTTTATTTTTTACCTATATTTTGTATGAAAGAGGAGGTTCAAATAAAAAGACGTAATAAACACATTATTTACGAAAGCAGAAAAATATCTATTTAAATTCATAATGTACGTCACACATTGGGGGTGGGTAGGTAGTGTTTGATTTTGTTGACAAGTGTGACGTGGTGGTGCGTGCTAAAATGCCAAAATTAGTGTGACGTAATATGGTGAATGGCCCCTAACAACATGACCCATTATCGGCAGTATAGGCAATTCTACTTCAACTGTCACTATTTCCCTACACTTGCCGTATGCCCGAATATTAATTTTCGAGCTGTCATGCTCCAAGCGAATGCAGGTGTGCGCTAATGCATAGAAATTGAATAAAATTGACATCATTGTCTATGGTTTATATATCTATTGCACATCAATGTATCTCTTGGCACATTACCGTCACTGTAGACGAAGAGCTAAACGATATAGCTAATCGTAAGCAGAAATGTTGATTATTACTGAATCTTCAATCTTGAATGCTTTCACATAATTTTGTGGTGGTATTGTCAGTATGAATATCTGTATTGTTATGATTATCACAAGTATTAGTATCTTCCATTATTATTCGTTTTAGCATAAAATTATTGCTATTATCAATAATAATTATAGTAATTATGATGAATGATGCATGATGAATCCAATCAAAATAATGGCTATATCAATGAGACTGGGGATATTATGGATGATAATTTAAGCAAAAAATCAAACAGTAGAGATGCTGCTGATAATTGTAATCCTACTACAATGATGATAATTAGTTTATTATTAATTACATTAATCAAAATAGTGATATAGTAGAAAAAACCTATAATAACCATTGTGATCATGACCAGCTTAATCATGATATCAGTAATTACGATAATAATGATCATAATAATTGATCATAATAAAAAATAAAAAAAAGCCGGCCATAGCCGAAGGCCCGGCGAAGCTAGAACTTCGCAAATCACAATCGCATCGATCATAATGATAATTATGACAAAACCAATTACAAATTGGGACTAGTAGAATATTGTACTGCAGGGTCGTAGACATGTCCTATCTTGATATGCAGTTTCCTAATGAGTATTTATTTGTCTGGAATATTTCATATGTAATTTCTATATCTGCTGTAATCTAGCAAGAGCTCGGCCAACGTTGTGGCTGTATGCTTGTGAATGTGTTTGTTAACCTATATATAGTTTATTGATTTCTACAGCTATCTACCGAAAGTATCGTCTGGTGTTCCTAGGCAGTCACTCATCCGAATAACTTTAGTAGCGTTAGCGATTGAATTAACAATCTTATATTCATGGTAAGAACATAAACATTTTTTTACGTTTTTTGGTGTTTTTTGCCATTTTA